AGCAGCACACAGAAACACCATTTACCTTCCCGCTGGAGCGGTACCTATTTATCTACTTGCACTTTTTGGGTGTGCTTTAGAACTGCTAGGTTGGCAGGAGCTGGGACTGAGCAACGGGAGCTCACCCGGTCGCAGGGATTCAAACTGCCGGCCTTCTGATCGGCAAGCCCAAGAGGCGCAGTGGTTTAGACCACAGCACCACCCGCGTCCTTCATGGGGATGATACCATGCCCCAAATCTTCTTATGATTACTCCCAGTGGTTTCATATAGATATTAAACAGCATTGGGGATAGAATAGTGCTCTGAGGCACCCCAGGTGGCAGATGTACAATCATGCAATACTATTCTCAAAACCCAATCCTGGAGGTAGAAGCAGAAGCCCTGCGTCACAGTACCACCAAGCCCCAGCTCACAGATAATCCAGAAGGTAAAGGACCCTGGACGGTTAAGTCCAGTCAAATTCGACTATGGGGTGCAGTGCTCATCTCCGCTTTCAGGTCGAGGGAGCTGGCATTTGCCTGCAGACTGCTTTTCCAGGTCATGTGGCTGGCATGTCTAAACCGTTTCTGGCACAACAGGACACCGTGATGGAAGCCAGAGAACACGGAGATATCATTTACCTTCCTACCATGGTGGTACCTATTTATCTACTTGCACGGTTATGCTTTCGAACTGCTAGGTTGGCAAGAGCTGAGACAAAGGAGCAGCAGCTCACCCCATCATGTGGATTCGGATTGCCGACCCTACAATCAGCAAGCCCAAGAGGCTCAGTGGTTTAGACCACTGCGAGGATCCTGTGGTCAACAGTACTGAATGGAACACGACTCTTTCCCAGTACCACATGGATATTCCAGGGATCGAACCTGAGACCTTCTGCATCAAAGCACATCCTCTAACACTAAGTCATGGCCATTTTCAAAAGTGGCTCCTTCCCTCCATATATCTTGGACCTCCTTGAACACATATTCCAATAAAGAAAGAGAAAGACAGATCAAATTGAAATGAGGGACACACGCGCACACACACACACACACACCATCTAATCTCTTCCACCACATCAGTTAGATTACAGTGGTGCCTCGCAAGACGAAATTAATTCGTTCCGCAAGTTTTTTCTTCTTGCGAGTTTTTCGTCTTGCGATGCACGGTTTCCCATAGGAATGCATTGAAAATCAATTAATGCGTTCCTAGGGAAACCGACTTCAGACCAGGTCCGGGGACAGTCTGTCCCCGGACCTCTTCTGAAGGCTGGGGGGGGCAAGGGCTTTTCTTCCCACCCCCAGCATTTTAAAAACCCGGGACAGCGGAGAGCTTCTCCGCTGTCCGGGCGATCTTAAAATGCTGGCGGGCGGCATTTTAAAATTGCCCGGGACAGCGGAGGACTTCTCCGCTGTCCGGGGCAATTAAAATGCCCCTGGGACGGCTGGCTGGGGGCACAAAGACTTTTGCCCCCCGCCAGCATTCATAAGAGGTCCTGGACCTCTTCTTATGGTTGGCGGGGCGAAAGTCTTGTCCCCCCACCTGCCTTCAAAAGCTGTCCAGCCACGGCTTCGCGGACCTCTCCGCAAGCAGCGGCAGCACTGCCGCTGCTCGCGGAGAGTTGCCGGCAGGCCGAAGCCTGCGCGCGCTGAGATCAGCGCGCCCAGGCTTCGCGGACCTCTCCGCGAGCAGCGGCAGCGCTGCCGCTGCTCGCGGAGAGTTGCCGGCATGCCGAAGCCTGGGCGCGCTGAGATCAGCGCGCCCAGGCTTCGCGGACCTCTCCGCGAGCAGCGGCAGCGCTGCCGCTGCTAGCGGAGAGTGGCCGGCATGCCGAAGCCTGGGCGCGCTGAGATCAGCGCGCCCAGGCTCGCGGACCTCTCCGCGAGCAGCGGCAGCGCTGCCGCTGCTCGCGGAGAGTTGCCGGCATGCCGAAGCCTGGGCGCGCTGAGATCAGCGCGCCCAGGCTCCGCGGACCTCTCCGCGAGCAGCGGCAGCGCTGCCGCTGCTCGCGGAGAGTTGCCGGCATGCCGAAGCCTGGGCGCGCTGAGATCAGCGCGCCCAGGCTCGCGGACCTCTCCGCGAGCAGCGGCAGCGCTGCCGCTGCTCGCGGAGAGTTGCCGGCATGCCGAAGCCTGGGCGCGCTGAGATCAGCGCGCCCAGGCTCCGCGGACCTCTCCGCGAGCAGCGGCAGCGCTGCCGCTGCTCGCGGAGAGTTGCCGGCATGCCGAAGCCTGCGCGCGCTGAGATCAGCGCGCCCAGGCTTCGCGGACCGGAGATTTCCCTATGGGCTTTCGTCTTGCGAAGCAAGCCCATAGGGAAATTCGTTTTGCGATGCGCCTCCACATCGGAGAACCCTTTCGTCTAGCGGGTTTTTCGTCTTGCGAGGCGATCGTCTTGCGGGGCACCACGGTATTTATTTAGTGGATAAATTAGAGTGTTTGCCTTTGGCATTGCATCTTAGTGAATAATCTGGAACATTATTGGGGGCGGGCAGGGGAGAAACGCACACTGAAATCATTTGTTCATGAACAGTGTGGATATTTTTGCTTTTGTGCAGTACCAATCTCATTCATATATATATATATATATATATATAATACTATGAATCCACTTCACCTGTCAGTGCTATTCAAAACACAAAATGCAGCATGAATAGGAAGGATGTTCAGGGATCTCTCCGATGATTACTGTTGCTAGGAAAACCACTTCCTGATATCTTTGTGCTCAATGTCTGCGTCTCGCTTTGTGTACAGCCGAGGATGACAGGCAAATTCATATCAAGGCATTGGGAAAGAAGAGGAAAAGTTTAGAAATGTTTAAAGAACGCAGCTTAAAGTTAAAAGGTGGATGTCAGCTCAAATAATAGTTAAGAGTTGTGATTTCTTTTCTACGTGGGATTATTGATATCAAATTGGAGGGAATTGCGCTGGGTGTTCCTGCCACGAATGCGGATGGGAGGCAGATTTTAGTCGCCTTGAAGGAGCAAATTTCCCAAGATTTACTGAATGTGACTTTTTAAAATTTATTTTCAGCCATGCTAACGAAGTAGCTCCAGATAAACTGGCACTCCTTGTAGCTTCTGCTCCACACTTGCAATAAAATAAATAAATAAGTAAGCCTGGCTGGGGAAAATATGTAAGGTTTGATTAGTCAGAGGGAGGGTTTTCACATATTTTCCTTCCACTACAGTGGAAATTCTAGCCAAGGCTGATCCAACATGACTCTTGCCAGTCAGCTTTCATTTTTGTTACTTATGAAAACCCTTGCATTTTTCTGGCCCTCTCTGAACATTTTCATTTACTTTGGAGCATGAGTAGCCTACAAGCATTGTCTTGCGGTAAAGTCGGGCCTTTGGGTCTATGTATAGAAGGAATGAACAGCCCCCCCATTGGCAGTAATGGCTGGGTAGATTGAACACTTATTCCATGCAGTAGCTGATGGAGAAGGGGAAAACAGAGAATAATGATTTCTTGTACCCAATAGGGCTCTCTCCATCCACACAGGTGGAAAGGGAGCAATCGCAGCACTTGATTGCATGACCATGCAGCGACAGCCCCAGCCCCTAGGGATCATAAGGAAGAAATAAAGACTCTGACAACGTTATATGGAATTAAAATTAGGCCACAATTTTATTAAACTTCCGAATGTAGGAAGACCTTGGCTTAGGCCTTGAGCGTGTCTCCCTCCCAGCCCCGCAGCCGGGGGGGGGGGGACTGGGGCTCATCAGGGTAAACAGGATATGGGGGTGCTCTGCGAGACGTAAGTGTAGCAGGCAGCCCAGCCCATCTCCCCTTACACAGGGTAGTTCACTGATGACCTTTCAGTGTATGGCCAGTGACACCCATATATATAACCCCTTTAAGAGGGGGACCCTGGAATCGCTGCCACAGGGGGGTGAGTCACCAATTATAGGGAAGAAAAGACTAAAGGATTCCACCAAAGGCCATAACTGCTAAAGTTGTGACAAATTGCCATGGGGAAGACAAAACCTGCCAATGCAGGAAAATTTCTTCCTGGTCCTTCAACAGCAACCAGTCAAAGACTGCAGTACCACCCGCTAAACAGGAAGAAAAAGTTAACCTGCAAAGAAGAAACATTAAACAAAGGGAGGGTGAATCTCCAGTGCCGACTGCCTGGCTATTGTCGCCTCCACCCCTATTTATATATGGGGCTGGCCCCATCTCCCAGCAAGACACTTGATTACTGAGGCTGGGCGTGAACCTCCAAAAATTAACACTGAGAGGCAAGCCAGCCCCTGTTTGCCAGCAAGCTCCCTGGGAACTGTAGCACCACACGCGATCCTGCAAAGGGCACCCATAATGTAAAGTGTGAGTTCTCATTTCTGTGTATACCTGGAAAGCTACTTTATATTTCTTGCCTACAAAAAAAGCGGGGCATTGCACTGAATTAATTGAAAGGAATATTTGTGGAACTGTACAAATATAAACCCTGTAGGTTTGTTTTTAGAGAAATAAGAAAGAATATTTGGTGGCCAATTCAGAGCGAAAACAATTTAAAAATAACCAGTGCTGATAAAAAGTACCGTATATACTTGAGTATAAGCCGACTTTTTCAGCACATTTTTTTTATGCTGAAAAAGCCCCCCATGGCTTATACTCGAATGAGGGTCCTTTCGGGCTGCTTGTTCTTCCTCCGCCGCTGCTGCCACCACCAGGTTTGTGGTGTGGTGAACTGGCTTATACTCAAGTCAAAAAGTTTCCCCAGTTTTTTATGCTAAAATTAGGTGCCTCGGCTTATATTTGGGTCGGCTTACACTTGAGTATATATGGAGTTGAAAATAACTAGTCCTTGAGCTGTTCTGGTGAGTTGTGCTTTTCTGTTAATAAAAAGCAGAAGACAAAGTTAAAGTGTTTTTAAAAGTCCATTTGATCCCCACAGTTATGCACTTGCTTCGGAACAGAGGAAGCTGCCTTATACTCACTCAGACCATCAGTGTTGTCTACACTGACTGGCAGCCAGCTCTCCAGGCTTTCAGACAGGAGTGTCTTCTAGCCTTACCTGGAAATGCTGGGGATTGAACCTGGGACCTTCTGCAAACAAAGGAGGTGCTCTGCCACTGAGCTATGGACCTTCTCCTCAAATCTTCCATAGAAATCTGTGAGGCTAATAATTCTAGATGTGCCACTGAAGGAATGGGTTTCCCAAACCCAAAACTGACTGTGCAGGCAGTTTGAAACTGCACCAAAATCCGGTGCTTTTAAAAAAAAAACCTAGTCTGGGAATAGCGCCAGAGGGTGTTCTTGGAGGTGGTGACCCCTTACTCCAATATAAGAGTAGGAACAGGAAGATCCTTTTATGGTCAGAAGTACAGGAAGGAATATCCTTTTATGGTCAGAAGTATAGGAAGGAATACCCTTTTATAGTTAAGAATGCCGGAGCAGGAACATCTGTGATGTCAACCTGCGTGTAGAAGCTAACGTGGCTGGATTCCTGGGGAAGGGGGAGAGGGTGCCTGGAGGATATATATACTACATGAAATTTCTCATTTCTTTGGACTTGCTGTGGACACACCACGCAGGTGCCTTTCTGCTGTTCTGGAGAGCAGAAATAAAGAACTCTTTCTCTGAACCAACCCTCGGTGTCATCTGACTTCCTTCCTCCTGTCCGGGAGCAACGCAGACCCAATTGGTGAACTCCAGTAAGGCTACACCGCTGGTTTGTGTCTCAAGCTTGCTCATGAGTTTCTTGAAATCGGCTCTTAAAAACAGTCGTAACTTGGATTCCGAACGCCTTGCAAGTTGAATGTTTTGGCTCCCAAATGTCACAAACCCGGAAGTCAGTGTTCCAGTTTGCGAACGTTCTTTGGAAGCTTCCTGCAGCCAATCAGAAGCCGTGCCTTGGTTTCTGAACATTTTGGAAGTTGGACGGACTTCCTGAATGGATTCCGTTCAACTTCCGAAGTACCACTTTATTAATTACTCTTCTTTCTGTTCCTGGAAGCAAATTCCTTAAAGAGCAATAGGGAATACCTGGGTTCCAGTCACTGGGGCAATGTTTATTTATAATTGTATTTTATTACATTTATGCACTGCCTTTCCTCACAAAGGAGTGCAGGGTGAGGTACAGCATATCATGCTAAAACATCAAATCAAGGGTTAAAATACATAAAACAACAGTGGTACCTCAGGTTAAGTACTTAATTCATTCTGGAGGTCCGTTCTTAACCTGAAACTGTTCTTAACCTGAACCACTGCTTTAGCTAATGGGGCCTCCTGCTGCTGCCGCGCCGCCGGAGCACGATTTCTGTTCTCATCCTGAAGCAAAGTTCTTAACCCGAGGTACTATTTCTGGGTTAGCGGAGTCTGTTACCTGAAGCGTATGTAACCCGAGGTACCACTGTATATCTTTCTTTCTTTTTACGGCATATGGCCAATTTCTGTAATAAAATACCACATACATGGGAACCGTTGGGCAAGATGACCCCCTTTTCCATCCAAACACTTGGGTGAATTAAAGTTTCTTCAATTCTGGTAACCTGCAGCTGTTTGTTTTAAATACATGCAGGCACAATGACCTGCGAACTTCATAGTTGAATGGAGATTTGACCCTGGGAATTTTAAAGCCCTAATCTTGCCTTCAAAATCAAGGCTAACTGAACCATTGTACCTGCATAGGGCTCTTTCTCACTTTCGCCTGAACTTGCATGCTTCCCCTCAGAACACATTTCAAAGCATTTAGGTTGATCATTTAAAGCAGATTCAGACACATAAGCACCTAAAGCACCCTTGCCTGCTTAATATAACTCCTCCACAGGTTTCATTGCGGAAAACATCCAAGCACTATGGGGAAATCTGTTTTGGGATTCCATTAGCAATCTGCATGCAATGCAATGTGTCTTATGTAAAATGAACAGCAACATGCAATATTGTTGCTGCATTCCATAACGTGGGACCAAGCCTGTGGAATTGAGACTTGACAGGCTGAACTTTAGGAAGATGACCAGAACTTCCTTACCGTAGCAAGCATTTTAAAGTAGTGTTCAGTTTTATGATGACTTTTCATGGTTTATTCTGTGTGGTTTATTTTTTTATCTATAACTGCTTAGAAATGCTAATGTTAACTATCTAAAATAAACAAAACAAACAAACACATAATAAATTTCCATTGTGGAAATGGTATGGTGCTCCTTTAGTCACCCTGAAATTTAGATAAATAATGGTGGTATCTATCTGTTTAGATAGACAGACAGACAGACAGATAGATAGATGAGAGGTACACAGACAGAATGATCCTAACCAATACAGGTTTTAGATTCCCATTGCAGACACAGAAAATGAAAAAAGAAAAAGAAATTTGGAGGTGGGAGAAACAGATTTGAATCTCATGTGTGAAGCATTCCTGTGAGATGCTCTGCTTCAAATCCTCTTGAGTTATTCCTTACCCCCTGGGAAGACTCCATTTCCTGTTAGCTATTTATTCCCTCAGAATAATACAGAAGTCATTAACAGGTGGCCTGTGGGTTCCCCTTCTCTCTCAGTGGCAGCCGGAAAATCTTTGTCACTTCAGAAATGTGTTCATAAGGGTTGTTTTCTACAAACGTATTCTTGATAGTACCACTGATTTGACCAGTGGAAATTTAATTGAGACATACTTTTGTGAATAGAAAAAGCAGCTTTCTTCTGGGATAACTCCTCATGGTAAACAAACACCATACCACCTGCAATTTTCCCTGTTTGATAAAGCTCGTGGGAAGCTTCCAGTAGTCTATAGACTGACACACTGAGGAGGATGCTGTGTAATTTCAAATATGTCAGCATTTCCGTTTAACCTATGTGTTTCTTTGGAATGTGGATTTAACAAACTCTCCAATCACTTGATAGTGTTGTTGTTGTTTTTTAAAATGAGAGCGAGGGAATATGTTAAAATTACCTAAACCAATATTTAAAGAGCAATTCCCTCCAGGGTTTGGAGTCTCCTGATATTCTCCTCAAGTTCCAACAAACACTGTAAATATATAGTAGATTATTTCATCAGAAACATCTTCTGCCAGGGAGTTTAATTTCTTATTATGAGCTCCATCTTAATATGCATAGTTAAGACTGAAAAAAATCACTGCTCCTCATATAGTGGTTCCATGTATAAGTATTTATATACCACCATCTTATAACATGTCAATGTAAAACAAATGTATAAAAGAAAACATAAAACAGCATTAAAATGGTACAAAATAATAATTGGCAGTCATTAGGCTACCTAGCTATCTTTAAATTGGATGGTTTTGGGCAGGGTTTGAGAGAAGCTCGTGCACGGACTGATGGCCGTGGGGCCGTGCAACCTGAGGCTACCTGGGGAGTCACTTCACTCTTCTTGGGAGCTTCCAAGTGGCAGATAGAGATGCTTGCTTTGTATGTATATATTGCTTGCTGTTTAGAATAAAAATTTTAACCTTTTCACTCAGTTGTGTTTTATATTACTTCTGAATCTCATTTTAAAAGAACCACCTTGCATTTGGCAAGACACTGTGCTGGGAATCAGCTGCGTTTGAGGCAAAAGGAAGTATCTTCTGCTTTGCACTGCAGCCATCTCACTACAAACACCAAAAATGGGAATGCCTCAAGTGCTTAGGCAGGGTCACAATTGGTGCAGGAATACAGCCACGCCATGTGCTCCCTGGGAATTGTGCTATAAGAGGCAGCAGCCTTCTCTGATCAGGGCCTGTCTTGAGTGCCCAGTTTCAAAGGCCGTCACCACTTCAAGGGTTATCTAGGGCATCTGTAGGTGAGGTTCTCCTTTTTTTCTCCTTGCAGCTGCTCACAGACAATATCCTAATCCTAACTTGTGGGAGTGAAACTCTGGCAGCCTTAAGTATATAATTTCCTTCCTATTACATTATTCCTTCCAGTACAGGAGGTACCCAATGTTTGTCATCTAGGAGTGTCATATCATTACATTGCATATTGCAGTGTAATGATGTGAAATGATTAAATGACAAAATGCCAGTTTGCTGCCAAAAATTTAAAGTGCCATACTTTTATTTGCAGATGGGAAAGCTATTATTAATTTTTGTGTGTGCAGGCTTTGCCAGCTGAAATAACACAAGCAGGCTGAAAATGAAGGTTGCTGCCATTGTAGCTGTGATTTGAACATAAGAGGTGGAAGGATTTGTACAAATCTGCCTGGATTTGAGAGCAGGTGACCAACGTCAGAAGCACTTACAGTTTTAGTCTCCTGACAAATAAATAATGAAATGGTGGGAAGAACCTGATCGACATCTTTGTAACTTATATGCAGATAGTAATCTTGCTGAGGAAGTTATTAGAAGAAAACTACTCAAGGTTTTCTAAAAAGTGCTTTTTGTGTTGTTTATACTTGGAATATTTTTATTTTTATTAAATTTCTATGCCACCTTTCATTCATGGATCACAGTGTGGTTTACAGACTGTGTCTGCAACTATTTGCAGACAAAATAATATTCAAAAAAGAGTTATAATAAATGGTTTAGAACAGATATGCAGACATACTACGGGCTCATAAAATAGACCCTTTCTCTTTTGTCTTAAAACTCATTTGTTGGTATGGACTTGCACATTATATTGTGGAAGGAATATTATATCAGGGTAGGGATGGAGGAATGCAGCTATTTCCATTCCAAACTGTATTTGTGATCATCATTGCTGTTTCAGTTCTGCTGCAGTTCACCAGACATTAAAAGGCTTCCTTCAGGTGTCTTCTAAAAGTCAGACAGCTGTTTATTTCCTTGACATCTGATGGGAGGGTGCATGGAGGGAGCTGACCTATGGAACTTCCCCAACCTTTCCCTCTCCCCACACACCACTTGCATGACTGGTAACCCTTTGGAGAAGATTTATGGGGTGCACAGGGGGCGTACAGGGAGAGGAGAGGGCAGGAGATTTCCATTGTGCAGCTAGTGGAACTGTATAGTTGGATATCATCATCATCATCATCATTAGTTATTGTGTTTTCAGACCTTTAAACCTCCCCCTTAAATAAATTCAGACAAGACTCAAATTTTGGTTTGATTTTTGGCAGAATTTAGGCCACAACTTTATTGATGACAGCAAGTGAGTGGTTGCATAGGCTCTGGTTCGACTAGCTCCCTGCACCATTGCAGGTAG